GGATGCCTTTGAAATGCAAATTACACCCAAGAGAGAGTTGTTGAGGCGAAGTTGGGCTGCAGGGCGGGGCGAGACGAGGCGAGTGCCGAGATGCAGCGGAAAAGAAAATGCGGAAGCTGCGCGCTGTCGGATTCTTGGCTTGTCGAGTGTTATGTATTTAGTGGCTGCCGCTGCCACAGCTCGAGCTCGTGCTCGTGCTCTTTAGCTCTTTAGCACCTGGCGTACAATTTGCGCTTTGGCATAGGTCGCGTTTTCATTGCTGTTGTTGCGGCGGCGTTGCCATACAATCAGCAGCCAGTTGAAGTTTGGCAACGCCCTGAACTCTTCACGCAAAGAAATAATAAAGACAAACAGTGCATTGTGCGTTGGCTTGAATAAAAACAGAAGAAGTGGCAGAAGAAGAGCTGTTGGCCAGGTAAGGGAAAACAGTGTAAAAGCATAATGATAATGGCAACGGCAGTGGCAGCAGCAGCATCAGCAGCAGCCATAACTCCCCCTAACTCCCGCTCTTCACACTTCTGCGTCCAACTTGACACAATAGCACGCGGCCAAATAAAAATTTATGGCACAGCTGAAAACTGCAATGTAGCCAGTGTGTACACACTGTGTGGCCCCGAGTCCGAAATCCCATTTCGAATTGTGTGTGTTTGTCGGATGGAGAGAGGTTGGGAGGGAGAGTGGCGTGGGAGCGGGTGGAAATCCGGGAGTGGGTCGCTCCGTAAAACTGGGTGGCCTGTTATGAGTTTTAACGGTTCGTTGAAGCCGGTCAGCGGCATTGGAGAGATGGAATTTAAGTAGAAACCAAAAATAAAAAGAGAAGAAGAAAAACGTACAAAAATAAACAAAAATAAAAAAGAATAAAAACTTTTAATGAAAAGTGCACTGAATTCTTAATACCAGCCCGGTCAAAAGCTTCCTTTTTTTATTATTATTATTTGCACTACGGCGCACTTTCGATTATGCTCTTTAAAGTCAAGCGTATACTCTGATTTAAGCACGTACGTCAAATAAAAAATAAATATATACACATACATATATATATATATATATATATATATAACATGACTATATGTGATTGGTTATTGAGCTTGAGTAAACAAAGATTATTTCAAGTGCTTTTTAAACATAATTCAGAGAGTAAAGCTCTTGAGAATCATAATTGTTAATTGTTATTGATTAAAGAAATTTAACATATTTTAAAAAAGAATTTTTTTATTGAAACTTCTTTAATTCATATTTGTTAAATAATTAATCAAATTGTACAAATTTAATTTATTTACTATATATAAGTTATAATAGCTACTATATTTTTTAAAAGAATTTTATTTATTATTAAATTTAACAGAAATAAGAAAATTCTTGCTAAAAATTATAGCAACTTAAAGGCGTGTTTTATTTATTAATAAATATAAAATAAATTTATTTATTATTCCTAAGACAAAATAGTTATTTTATTTTATATAAAGATATAAAATATATGACTAAAAAATATCACATTAACAAAAATATAAAAATTAAAATAAAAATAATTGAAATTATTTACCTAAAACAAATATTAATACTGAATTTTTTATATTAAGAAATTTATAATTAAAAATATATATCAAAACAAAACAAAAAAAACATAACTTAAAACTTCAACAAATTTCTTTTAAAATTGGAAAAAAAATGTTTTATTTTTCGTTTAAATGTATATAATATTTACTTGCTTGCTTTATTTATTTATTGCTTTAAGCCAAAAATCTTTTCGTAGCGCACTTACAAGGCTCAAGAGCCCACAGAATGCTTGTCTAGATTACAAATGATTTCTTTGTTTTGTATTATTTTTTGTATTTTTAATTCACTTAAAGCGACTTTGGGCATTGTCTTACTGCCCCAGAGCGAACAGTGCGCCCATATTGCAGGCCAGATATGCAAAATGTATGTAAATTGCCAGAGCCATAAAAATGCGGGCAACTTTAAAAAACTAAACGAAAATGAGTAAAAAGGAAGAAAAAGATTTCTGAGTGCTTCAGTTGACAATTGCTGCTGTGTGGAAAACGCGTCAAGATAAAAGACAAATTTACAAAAAAAGGGAGGGCGGTGCAAAAAGTAAAGGGACGGAGCAGTCGCGCAGCGTTTAAACAATAAAACAATAAATTTTCATTACCGGACTCGTGGCTATTAACTGTTTCCGCTGGCCAAAGAGTAAATGCATTGAAACAGACAACAGTTTTAAATGTATATAAAAATGAATAAAGCACCAATTGTTATATATATATATATATATATATATATATATATATATATATATATATGTGTGTGTGTGTGTTTCAGTTATATATATACACTGACGAGCAAAACTGTAACACACGTTCAATGTTCTCACTTCAACGGTCTGTATTATCTTTTATACTTTATGCATGATTATGATCATAGTCTTGTTTTGTTAGGGAAATATTTGGCTCTTTTATTTATAAATTTGAAGACATTTGATTAGCAATAAGAGAAATACAATAGCAAAGAGTAAAAAAAGTCAAATGTTACAGTTTTGCACTGCAAATATTTTTAAACAAATATTTTTATTAAATTTTTTTTAATAACGGGTCCACAGCCCTTTTGATTTTTTGAGGTTGTTTATACGGTTTGGCATACTTTGCGTGTAGCGTCGCACCATTTCAGGTGGAATCGAGTACCAAACGTCCTTCGTTCTCTCTCACAACTCCATCCTGCCATTTGGAGGGGCCGTATATTTCGCAAGCTGCGATTTCAGATGACTCCATACATTTTCTATGGGATTCATGTCTGGAGATTGCGGTGGCCACTTCATAGTTTGAAACTTTTGGTTCAATAACCAATTTTTCACCAAATGGGATGTGTGCTTTGGGTCATTGTCTTGCTGAAAAATGCAATTTTCAACAGCCAGACCCATGTTGCCAATGACTCCTCCCAAATTTTCTTGAAAAATTTTTAGGTATTGCTCCTTACGCATTATCCCATCGATTAACAGTAAGGGCCCAACTCCATTTGTACAAATACAGCCCCAAACCATTATGGACCCGCCACCGTGCACCGCACTGTATTTGCCGATTGGACTGTGGGATTCCTAGTCCAATACCACGTCGTCCGTCTGACTCAAAACGATTAATTTTAGTTTCATCTGACCAAATAACCTTGAAAAAATTTGTTTAGCATTGTTTAAGCTTTTTATTTGTAACTTATGGCATCCCAATCAGCTAGAGCCAAATTTTCATGCATTATAGCACAGTTTCTAACGCAAACTAATGTGCCTGTTAGCTAGAAATGGTTTTTTTTTTTCTTTCATTGGCCTTAAGCCCCAATCTGCCGAGACTGCGACGGACTGTCCACTCACTGGCATTTAAATTTAACACATTAGCCGCTTTTATTGGCATAAAGTCGCGATTGCCTGTAACTAAGTTAGCCAAGTGGCGCGTGTCACGTTGGCTTAAAAGTCGCGGTCGGCCTCCTTTATTGATTTTAATGTTTTCTGAACTGTTTTTGTTTTTAACACTGCACAGTCATGTGGCTAACACCAAATTTATTAGCCACTTTCCTAACGGATTCGCCCCTATCAATAATTCGATTATTTCCTTTTTCTTTTCATCAGCCATCATAATTATTTTGCAAATTGACTTAAAATGATCAAGGTTTATCGATTTAAACAAAAACAAATAAGTTTTAATGGTAAAAAAAGCTTTGAAACAAAAGTAAATAGGTTTTGCTCTGCGAGTGCAAAACTGTAACATTTGACTTTTTTTACTCTTTGCTATTGTATTTCTCTTATTGCTAATCAAATGTCTTCAAATTTATAAATAAAAGAGCCAAATATTTCACTAACAAAACAAGACTATGATCATAATCATGCATAAAGTATAAAAGATAATACAGACCGTTGAAGTGAGAACATTGAACATGTGTTACAGTTTTGCTCGTCAGTGTATATTACGTTTAAATTGCAGTGAACGCTCGAAAGTATGCAACACTTTTGTAATTTATTTAATTTCTCTTGTTTTTTTTCTCATTTCAAACATTTGACTTTGGCATTTCACATTATAAATTTTTGTTCTTTTATTTACGTTTTTTCTGCATTTGTTTTTTTTTTTTATATTATTTTTCTTATTTTTTACTTCATTCACCCGTACTTGGCATTTTCTCTGTGTCTGTGTGTTTTGCGCTTTAATTACATTTTCGTGGTTTTCATTTTGTGCACCATAAATAATTTCACCATGCTATGCTGCGCTGCTGCTTCTTCTTTTCTACTGTTTTTTTTTTTACTTTTCTCTTTTTGCTTTTATACATTTCCATTTTTCTCTTGGCATAAAATGATTTGGCCCACGTCCAGCGTAGGTGAACGCAAAACTAAATGTTGTTGCTGCCTTTTGCGGCTGCATCAGCATTAATTTGCTTAAAATGAAAACGTGCTAGACACAAAATTTATATTTTCTTCAATGCTCGCATGAAAAGCGTCAAGAAAGTGTATTGGGCTTGAGTGATGTGTGAGCCACGAAAGTGTTAACAAATATTTATAATACGGCTTCACTGAAATGGTATTGTCCCATATATTCTGCCACGCTTATAAGGCTACTTTTCTTGACAATACGGGAAATATAAATTTATTTTCTTATGTCTTCAGCAACTTTTTACATTGTAAACAAAAATAAATTTAAATAAAATTAAATTTAAATAGATTTCGTACCTTATTTTATAGCTTTTATTAGCAAATATAAATTTGCTGATTAACAAATATATTGATTCGTTTAATATTTACAACTAAATAAAATGAAATAATTAATGCATTTTAGCAATTAATATTAATATAAAAAATATATATTTATATTAAAATATTTTTTAACCTTAAGCGAGCATTAAGCAGTCTATAACAACCAGCTCGAATACTGACCTGTTTTGTTACATTTTTTTGAAGGCTGACTCTCGCAACTCAACCTGAACTCGACATCAACTTTACTATAATTTTGTTGTTTTTCTTTTTGTTCTTGCAGGTCACGTGGGCGGCTGTGGCATTACGGAGGAGGTCTCACAATGGATGGAGAATATACAAAATTCAGCGGTTGAGGAGCTGCCAGTGCCCATGTCAAAGGATGTCCAAAAGCTGCACCGGAAACAGCAACACAAAAAGGCAACTGCTGCTCAGCAACAACAACAACAGCAACAGCAACATCCACCGAAGAAATATGCCAGCAGCGATGATGATTTCAAATTTCCACATCAGAAATATTCAAAGGAAGCAAACTTGGGCGATAGCAACGGTGGATTCTATGATCCAGAGACCGGACGACGTTTGGGCACCACGGCCAATGTCGCCGAATGGCGTCAACTGGTCCATGAGCGTGTGCGTCGGGCCAGTGGCAATGGCAACGGCGGGGCTGGTGGGGGCAACAATGCCGCGGCCAACGGTTCATCTGGCGCCGGACGTGGCCGTGAGGATAACAAAAATACCTGCTCGCTGTATATACAAACAGATCCATTGATTTGGCGTCATATACGCGAGGGTATTGCTGATGTAAGTCTGACTATCAAGGTGGAAGCTGAGTTTGGGGGAGGGGACGGGACTGGTGCGTGGCAACTGTAGAGTGGACTTGGCCTGCCAGCTCGTGCGCCAAATTAAAACCGAAGCAGCAGCAGCTCGAGCTACGGTAGCTACGTTAGCTGTGTGGCTTAAAGAACACAAAACAAAATCCATGAATTTTGCAATTTTTTACGAGCGAACGCTTCACTTTTTGGCTCTGAAGCATAAAACAAAAGGCCGACTTTTTTCTTCTTTTTTGAATGTGCGGCAATGGTTGAGGGAGTGCGAGTGAGACGACTGTATGAGTTGGAGTACGTTGCGCGTAGTCAGTCCGACGCCATTTTTTTTCTGTTCGTTCAAAGAAATTGAGTGATGCGCTACGTTAAGTGAAAATTGTTCTTTAGTTAGCAGAAAGTTGGCTTAGTTGGTGGAAAGTTAGTTGAATTTTTTTGATTTTTTGAAAAGTTAAGCAAAACTTTTCGTTAGTTGTCAAGATTAAGGAATCTTAATGGAGAAATTTCACTACATTGATTTATTGCATCTATTTTGTTTAGACTTAAACGGAAAATATTATCGGATTTGAAGATTCATAGAAGTTAAGAAGAAAATAATAGAAACTAGTTTCTGAAAAAGCAGTTAGAATATTCTTATATCATATCATATGTCCCAGATCATTAGCCAAATCTGATTTCATCTTTTAATTCCAATGCTATTTTAGTATTTCACTTAGTATTCAACTAAATTATCCTTGAGCATGCTCTCATCACTTCAGAATCAATTTCTTTCAACTTTGCTTTCTAATAAATGACGACCCAACTTAACATAATTAAATTTTCATATAATTATTATCTTGAGTTAACAATAACCTCAAGTGTTTAGCACACACGAAATCATTTAGAGCATAATTCAAGCGGCTCTCATGCATTGCCCCACACATTTTCTTGAACAACCCCATATAGGGTGTTTTTTTCTTTTCTTTGCTGCCTTAAAATTTGCTCGAGCTTTGCCCTTGCTTGTCGGCGTCTTCAAAGCAATCATCCAATCAGCTGACCTGCTTCGATATCTACAGCGCATGCAATCAATCGTTATAGCCTCACTCCGTACTTCCGCTCTCACTCTCTTTCTCTCTCTGTCTTTTCCTCGACAATTCTTTTGCTCTCCGCTTGCTCGTTCGCAAGCAATTCTTTTGCCGCACTTTATGTTTACGTTCATTTTTTCGCACTGTACGCGATGTTATTGTTGTTGTTGTCGACGTCGACGTCAACATCCTCGTCAGGTTCATTTTGCAGCTTCCCCGACCCTCTTGTGACATGCTCAACCCGCTTCTGTCTTCACTCTCTATGTGCGTCTCCCTCTCTTTGCCTTACTCTCTTCACTGTTTTGTCTGTTTATTTGCAATGAGTTTTGCATAATTCGCGCATTTGTTTCGTTCGTCGCTGCGTTCGTGACGCGTTTTTATTGGCCAGTCTATTGAAGTAAAAGGGGTATATTGAATTGGTAGCTGTATGTCGCGAAAATTAAGTTTTAATATTATTGACTCATTATTATAACAAGAAATTATAATTTCTTATATTAGAAAATTTAGATATATATTTAAATTTTTACTTTTACATAATTAGAAGTTATTCTAATTTGTATTTCAAAGAGAAATTGAATTTTTTATTCAAACAATATATAGTTTATATTTTTTATTATAATGAATTTTTAAATAATTCTTCTCGAATTAAATTGTACAGGGCATTTGTAGGTCTATACATATTCAATTGTTTGTCCTATTCATTCGCTTTTTGTCACTGAGCCCAGCGGCATTTTGATTTTGGAACCAAAAACTGCCGTTAGCGGTGCGCTGATAGACCATGCCCCACGTGCCCCACACCGCTCAGTTAAAAACCACGAAATCCCGCAAATCCACCCGCTCAACGCGCACGCGAATATAAAAGCGAATAAACTTCTGAAAAATATTCGACGGGTTTTTAGCTGAATTTGCATTTTTATACAAATATATTTGAAGAGTGCTTGTGGTGTGTGTGTGTGAAGGAGGCTGGGGAATGGGGTCGTTTGTTTGTCTGGCTGCTTTGTTTGCCACGCCCCTCGTTTGCTCAAAATGTCAAGCGCAGCGGCATTGCGGTTGAGATTTTTATTACGAGCACCAGCGCGCGCGCTGTTGAGTCGAGTTCATTGATTTTTATTTTTAATTTTTTATTTATTTTGTTGTATTGTACTTTTTGTGGTAATTAATTTGGATATTTTGGTGACTCCCCTTTCATGTTGGCGCACACAGCACGATCGCGGTCGCAAGTACGAGGTGGATGTGAAGACCCGTGAGGAAATCACATCGCTGATTGCACATCATGTGACGGCCGTTAATTACATTTACCGCAACACAAAGTTCGATGGACGGACGGAGCATCGCAACATACGCTTTGAGGTGAGTGAACAGCTACAGCTACAGCAACAGCAACAGCTCAGCAGCGCCCCCTGTTGGTTGCCAATTGCCGAACGGAGCAATGCTAGTCGGGAGGGTGGCTCCGCAGCCACAGCCACATCCACAGCCAACAATGGCCACAGAACAAAGAGCGTGTCCCTGGACCAGGACCAGAACCAGAACCAGCTCCAGAACCAGGACAACCTCATCAGGGTTGTAAAGAGAAACATTTAAGCGCAGACAGCCCCAATAATTATGCGTGAAACGAGTCCCGTTGGCGCTGGCGCTGGCGTTGAGCTAAGATGGGTTTTAGTATACCAAGCATTAAAGCCAAGTTCGTTTAAGCTGAAAGGATTAACGTTTTGTATAAGAGTAATATATTTTACTAGTGGGGCGAACTGCAACTGGAACACTTTAAATGTTTTGGTTTAAATTATTGAATTGGGTTTATTGACCAAAAGACATTTTGAATAGCGCTAGTATAGTTTTAAGGGAGGAACGAATGGGTAATGGAACATCCTTAAGTACTTGAGTTGAGTAAAAAAAAGCTTATGTTTCATTCAATTTCGCATTTGGGACTGAAAGGATTAACGTATAATAACGTTACATAGTTTTAATAGTGGAATGAACTGGAATTAACACATTTTTAAGGTTTTATATTGAGTTGAGTTGGGTTCAAAGCTGACCTACTACAAGTTAAGCTGAGGTAAGCAGAAGTAATCTACTGCTAGTATAGCTTAATAGGCGAAACGAATAGGAAAGGGAACACCCTTCAATAAACGAGCTGTGAAGCTGATTAATTTTACAGTTGTGACTTGTGTCAGTCCTAGTTTCCTTCCGTTTTATATTCGTTAAGAAAAGGATTCACATTTGCATAGTTTTCAAATTGGAATGAAGTGGAATTGCAATACTTTAAAGATATTGGACAGAGCTGAGTTTCTTTACGTGAAGCTGAACAAAATTGATCTGAGAAAACGTATTAAAACTAGGCTATTATAGCCTTAAAACTGGAACGAACTGGAAATGAAACAAAGGGAAAATTGAATCATATTCACATTTCTATTCTATTCTGTTTACATTTTTAACTATTTTCATTTATAATGATTTGCTGAACCTTTCCTCCAGGTGCAACGCATCAAAATCGATGACGATTCCGCCTGTCGCAACTCCTACAACGGGCCTCACAATGCATTTTGTAACGAGCACATGGATGTCTCGAACTTTTTGAATCTCCACTCGCTAGAGGATCACTCAGACTTTTGTCTAGCCTATGTATTTACTTACAGGTGAGCAGCAATTTAAATAATAAATGATTTATTCTAATCGTCTTCTCGCAGAGATTTTACGGGCGGCACTTTGGGCCTGGCCTGGGTGGCCAGCGCATCGGGCGCCTCGGGCGGCATTTGCGAGAAGTACAAAACCTACACGGAAACTGTGGGCGGTCAATATCAGAGCACCAAGCGATCCTTGAACACGGGCATCATCACCTTTGTCAACTACAATAGTCGCGTGCCACCAAAAGTATCACAGCTAACGCTGGCTCATGAGATTGGACACAATTTCGGTTCGCCGGTAAGTGAAGGAAGGGTATTGGGGATGGAAGTAAAAAGTGTTATATTATCATTTTAAATTATGTTTTTATTATAAATAAGTATTCTTCTATTTGTTGATAATAACAGTTGATATTTTAGGAATTATTGTGTTCCATTCCACATTCCTTTTCATACTACACTCAAGTTTTACCCTAATTTTAATTTACTTTCTCAATATTTTTTAGATTTACAATAATTTAAACTCATTTACTAAAAATACATTCCATTCCATCGTTTCACTAGATTATTTCGTTCTATATCATTATTTCTCACATCACAGTTTAATCTTAATGCATTAAATCTTATTACTTCACTATTTTAAGTATTTTTGAACTATATTTAATGTTCCATTCCAACGTTCCACCTCTAATATGTATACCAGGCTGCAGAATAATGATTCTACTTTCTTTATTCTCACACAATTTTTGTTAAAACAAGTGTTTCATTCCAGTATTCCTTCTGGAAATACCAACTAATCAATTGTTTTCTCTTCTACAGCACGACTATCCACAAGAATGCCGTCCAAGCGGCCCCAATGGCAACTTTATAATGTTTGCCAGCGCCACGTCGGGCGATCGTCCAAACAATTCAAAATTCTCACCCTGTTCCATACGCAATATTTCCAATGTCTTAGATGTGCTGGTGGGCAATACGAAACGTGATTGCTTCAAGGCATCGGAGGGCGCTTTCTGCGGCAACAAGATTGTGGAGTCGGGCGAGGAATGCGACTGTGGCTTCAACGAGGAGGAATGCAAAGACAATTGCTGCTATCCGCGTCTCATCAGCGAGTACGATCAGTCGCTCAACTCCAGTGCGAAGGGCTGCAAGCGTCGTGCCAAGACGCAATGCTCGCCGTCGCAGGGTCCCTGCTGTTTGGCCAACTCGTGTGCCTTTGTGCCCACCCACTTCCATCAGAAGTGCAAGGAGGAAACGGAGTGCAGCTGGTCGAGCACATGCAATGGCACCACAGCCGAGTGCCCAGAGCCCCGGCATCGTGACGACAAGACCATGTGCAACAATGGCACCGCCCTGTGCATACGTGGCGAATGCAGCGGATCACCCTGTTTGCTATGGAATATGACCAAATGTTTCCTCACCTCAACGTCCCTGCCGCACGTGGACAAGCGCAAGCTCTGCGAATTGGCCTGCCAGGATGGCAACGATACGAGCACCTGTCGCAGCACTAGCGAATTTGCTGCCGAATATAACATACAACCGGGTGGCATTAGTCTGCAGCCCGGCTCACCCTGTGACAACTTCCAGGGCTACTGCGATGTTTTCCTCAAGTGTCGCGCTGTCGATGCCGACGGCCCGCTGGTGCGGCTCAAGAATCTGCTGCTCAATCGCGAGACGCTGCTCACCGTCACCGAGTGGGTCACCGGCAACTGGTATCTGGTGGTGCTGATTGGCGTTGGCTTCATTGTGGTGCTGGGCGCATTTATAAAATGCTGTGCCGTACACACGCCCAGCTCCAATCCGAAGAAGCGTCGAGCTCGACGCATCAGCGAAACGCTGCGCGCGCCAATGAATACGCTGCGTCGCATGGTAAATTGAAATTGAATTTGAATTTTAATTTTAGATGTTTTTATACATAAATATGCTCGTTCATTAAGTGAAAAGAAGTATATTAGCTTTGCGAGATGTCCTTGATTGTGTTCATCTGTCTGTATCCGTTTAGGCGCTCGTCTGTCTGTATGAGAGCAAAGCAGTTCGATGCTAATGCAGCTTGATATTTGAAAGATATATGCTCTATTATATACTACTTACAGAATATACGTGGCTAGGATGACTAGGAATATATCTTTCAGGGCTTTTAAGGTTGAAGACTGTTGAAGACTCTTGCATATAGACTTAAAAACAGATACATCTTCGGCTTCAAAGGGCGTGGCAAATGGGATATTGGTATATTATAGACTTCTATCTGTCTAGCTAGCCATCTATCTATTGATCCATCTATCAAGTATTTATATATTTATTTATTTATTTATATATTTATATTTTTATATATTTATATATTTATATATTTATATATTTATATATTTATATATTTATATATTTATATATTTACATATTTATATTTTTATATATTTATATATCCATGATAGGTGCAAAAATACCAATTATACATAGCTAGGCCCATAGATGGCCTTGATAAATCAATATATAAACTATATCTTCTACAGTTTTGAAGCAAGACTTAAATATATTTAAGTCTTCTTTATTTTATAAGTTTCGCTTGTCAAATCGGAGCACATCGATTGTATGAACGAGTATTAGGCAGTCGCTTATGCCCAACCGCCATTTGCTTATGTCTTTTATGCTATATTTTCCAACTCTTAACTGCAGCAGCGGCATCCGAATCAGCGTGGTGCTGGACCGCGCAGCATTCCACCGCCGGCGCATGAGGCGCAACATTATCCTCGAGGTGGCGGTGGTGCTGGCGCTGGTGGTGGTGCATCTGGACGACATGGCGGCTCACGTGGACATAATCATCACAATTCGCATTCACACGAATGGGATCGGCATCAGGGCGGCCACTCGATTGTGCCACTGCCCACGGGCGGCGGTCATGCCAGTCGCAATGCGCCAGCGAATCAGGCGAGGCGCAGTGATGGGCGTGGCACACGGCCCAGCAGCAGTGGCAAGCCGCAGGCCAGCAGCAGCAGCGCAGCCGGACGATCTGGGTATGGAGCTGATCAAACGGGCGTGGGTGGTGCTATGGGTGGTGGTGTGCAGGCGGCCATTAGCAGCAGCGGTGTTGTGGCGCGTGCGCAACTGCCGCTGCCATTGCCGCCCGCAAATGCACAACAGCCGCAACAACAACAACAACAAGCACTCTCACCGCAACAACAACAACAACAACAATCGCAAGCGTTCTATGCGCCGAAAGGTGCGTCTGCCACTCGTCTAGAGTGTTCTATGCCATTAGTTCCCCAGTGCTAGAGAGCTGCTGTTTCGTTTCTCATATTGTTTCTCTACAACAAAGAAAACACACATTTAATTTGTATTTTGAACATTTTTTCTTTTTCCTTTTTTTGTCCTCTTTTCCATCTATACCAAACGTATTTGCCAACCACACCAAAATCATACAAAAATATATGAAATTCAGAATTACCACCACGCAATAAGTCCCGCTCGTCACGTACCAACAACAACAGCACGGCCATGCCCTCGACAGTGGCTGGCAGCAGTAAGCAAGCCAAAAGTGCCAAAGCCAAAGACACACAACAACAGCAACAACACAACAAACACAACAACAGCAACCGCAGTCGCAGCAGCAGCAAAGACAAGGCAACCGCAGCCGCTGGCAAGACGCGTCGCAATATTGTTTACTAAATGTGGAACGCTTGGAATTGGAACGCCTCAAACATGCCATATACGAAACAAACAAATATATATATACCTATATATACCCAGTACATATACAAAACTTCCACGCGCTTGCTAGCGTGCCATTTCCATCGTTCCAAGCAAAAGGCTTTGCACCCCCCTCCCACCCACACAAAACGAATTTGATCAGCAATTGGTATGAATAATTTTCACTAGAGTTTTCTTTTTACATATTTCCTCCTTCTCGTTTGTTTGCTCGTCTTGAATCTTGTTTGTTTTTTCGGTCATCGGCTCTATTAACAGCACTTCGTATTCGTTGTTTTTTCTTTTGTTGTTTTGCTCCCTTTTTGTTTGGCATGTTTCGAACTTGTTTTGTTTTTCTTTTCGTCCCTTCCTATAATTTGTATTGTTGTTGTTTTTGTTATTGCATGCACACTGAACATATTATCAATATTTACACTAAAAACTAATTTTGTTTACTAACTCAACTAACACTTGCAGTTGACTGCAATGCAAAAAATAAACACAAGAAAAAATAATTTTGCTTTGATTTTTTTATAAGATCTTTTTTTTTATAGTTAACTGAAATTGAATTTGAATACAATAAAAAATCATACAATAAAATAAAAAATTAGTGCAATTGTAAATGTGTACAAAAAAATATAAAAAGATGCATTTAACTTTTCAAATTTGAAAAATTTTTATTATTTTTTTTGCTTTTTCTATAAATATTTTTATTACGCAATTATTAAATTTATTAAAGCAAATATAAAAAATAAATATTAATATGAAAAATATATTGCAATCAAAGCGCAAAAATACTATTTAACAAAATAAAAAAAATAATAATAATAACTAACAAATTTAGCATTTGGTTAATTTAAAAAAAGTTTTTCAACAGTCATTTCGTAAATATATATTTTTCCAATTTTCTCTTATTTTGAACTTAATAATTTTAAAATAGTTAATTTAAACACTAAACATTTCAGAAATTTGTTTCTTTTTTTAACTTAAATTTACATTATTAAATGTTGAAGTATTTTTTTTTTACAAAACTAAATTAAATTAATTAAATTAATCTCGCAATTACTTGCCAAAACAACTAGACAAAATAATTGTAATAAAAAAGTAAAGTTATATTAATTTTTTCAGAAATAGAGCTTTTAGTGCAGTTATATTTTTTCATACATTTAACATTTTTATTTAGTTACTTAAACATTTTTTGAGCAAACTTTATATTGGCTTTTTAAATATTTAATTTGAAAACAAAGTTCAAAACTTGATTTTATGTGAAAAAATTCTTTTTTTTTATCTTAACCAATATTAAAACTTTGAACTGTGTTGGAATTTATGCAAGTTGTTTCCAAAAGGCATTTCGTTTGCATAGTTATAAAAACACAGAAAAAAGAAGCACGCTACTAAAAAACCACTAAAACAACTTGAAATGTATGCTTGTGTGTATGTGGGTGTGTGTGTGTTTTAATATGAATCGATAAGCTGCACATGGCCTAATTCAAGTAGTTGCCCAGAAGGGGGCTGGCGAACTTCACTTGAACTGGCGCCACAGGCAACTAACAAGTCAAGAAACTAATACAACTTTTAATGTATTTTCTCTCTATTCATCTCTCTCTCTCGCTCCCAAATATATATATATATCTGTATATGTATTTAATCTGGCTTAGGCGTCGCGCCCCCGCCGCCGCTACAAGTAAACTATAGTCGACCGACATCGCTGCATGAGCAACAGACGTTAGAGGAGCTGCAGCAGCAGCAGCAGGAGCCGGAGCAACAACAGCAACAGCACGCCTATGCTGATGCCTATGCAGCTATGGGGCGTGGCCACTACGAGTCGACGACGCGGGCGCCCAACAATAGCAAAGTTTGACAGCCAAAATTAATGTCGGAGCGCCATAAAAAACCAAAAGCAAAGCGACAAAAGCTACAACAGCAGCAACAACAACTTAAGCAACAGCTAGCACAGCCACAACAACAACAACCACAGCAACAAGAACAAAAATCAAATGAACTAAAATTAAATGTAAATGTAATTTTTATGCTAATTATTTTTATTTAAACAAAACGCAAGTAACAAAAAATTGATGAAAAATTTCAGAAGTACCAACAAAAAAGAAAAACGAAAATCAAGAAAATCTAAAAAAAAATCATGAACGATATTTTTGATTGAATTAATTGATATAAGAATGCAAATCATTATTATTATAAATAATTCAAAATGCAAATTGCATAATATATATATATATATATATATATTTATATATATATATATATTTATATATATATATATATATATATATATATATATATATATATATATATATATATATATATATATATATATAGTAAACAGACAAACAAAATATATATATACATATATTTAATGATTGTGCGTACTTATTTACAAAGCAGCAACAACATAGATAAAAAAAACATAAAAAAATAAAATTTAAATGTATGCAACAGAAAAAAATCAAGCTAAAAAAAATAAAATATAAACTGAAGTAAAAAGAAAAACAATATTTAAATGTCAAACATTTAGTAAAGAGTAAAAGGCAAGAAAAAAAATATGAAAATTGCAAACATTTGCTTATGTAAAAAAAATTAAAAAAAAAATATTAAACTAAATAAATGAATGGCAAAGCATTTAAATTGTGTATGAAAAGCCAAAAACTTTCAAACAAAGCCGTCAAATTTTTTGCATTTGTAAACTTAACAAAAAGAGAAAAAAATAATAAATAAATTTGATTTTTTTTCATTTAGAATTGCGAAATTTTTGCTGCTAAAGTCACTTGCTGCTAAAAATATTTTATTTTGAAAAAAAAATTGATAGAACAGAAATGAAATGAACGCAAATCGAATAATTGAAGCAATTCCTTAGTTTGCAGAAAAAAAAAATTAAAAATAATTTATAATTGATTTAGTATTGATTTTGTCCTCTTGTATTAGGTTAAAAGCTTTATATGTAAATGTTTAATGAGCTGTTTTTTTTTTTAAATCTTTTCTATGCATCCTTCAACTGATTATGTTAAATATATTACTCAGATTCATATGTATATGGCAAATATATATACATATATAATATTCTGTTTAGTTAAACAAATTACGCAAACATTTGTTAAAATTTTAATTAGAATTTCTAGTTTATGTTTTTTGTTTTTGTCTGTTACTTTTGCAATTTGAATCATTCTCAACAAACTACAAGAACATCACTTATATATACATATATATATACTATTTACAAATTTCCTTTAACAATTGTAGCCATAAAATACATTTGAAGCACTTGAGTCAGCTTTATGTTTAAAAAGTATTTTACAATTTTCTATGGCAATAATTTCAAATTTTTCAGCGAATTTTAATTTAAACTTTCTTAAATGTCTTTCAGCATATTTTTCTTCTTCAAGAAAAAGAAAAGCAAAACTTGTACATAGAAAAAGTCTCTAAGAAATACACAAAAAATACAAACAAATATAACAAAATTATGCATTAATTAAGTAAAAGAAATAAATGTTTAACAAACAAACATAAGTTTAACAGTAATTACTTAAATTGAGATATATTTAAATATATATATATATATATATATATAAAATATGTATTTAAATTTAAATTGATGAACAAAGGCAAACTATGCTATTAGTTCAAAGCAAGACAAAAAACAGCAACAGCAACAACAACAAGAACAACAAGAACAAACAACCGAAATACAAAAACAAAAAACATTTAAACTATTAATTTAATTATATATATATAATGAATTAATTAATTGAATTTAAGGCTAAACAAAAAAACACTGCTACAAAAACATAAAAAACACATAAAAATAAGAATGAACATAAGAAAGGATAATAAAAACAAGAACAAAACTACTATTTTATAAAATACAAAAAAACGAGAGTTTTATTTCAATTTAGAAGATATTATGAAGGCGGTAAATATATAAATTAAGGGGGATGTAAAATTTAAATTTATATATATTTTTCTTTAAATTTCAATACTTATTTTAAGTATTCCATTTAAATTGATTGAATTTAACTAATATTTAGTGACACATTCGAAAAATAAAACAATTTCATATTTTAGAAAATATATTTTTATATTTGAACATTATTTTATTCGCATTTGTTAGCAAACAATAAAGGCACTTTGACAAAATTAAATATTAAAATACAAAATACTTAAAAATTAGTATACAAAAACATATTTTTTGGTTAAAAAGAGAAACAGACACACATTTAGCTGCGCTGGCAGTTAAACAGTTACAACAAGCACAGTAAGGCCTCAAATTGTGCACTATGCGCGCACTCGCGATGCCTTCTTGCTCTTGTCAGCCTTGGGCGGCGGCGGTCCACTGCGTCCGCCCTGCATGTGGCGATTGTAAATGCTGCAAGAAGGCGGAAAGAGTGAGCTAATATATAAAGATATATGTTCATATTCATGCTCACATTTTGTAGGTTTCAGTCTTGAGATAGTCGATCACATGACTGATGCCCAATAGATATTGTTCCGCAATCGGATTGACCCAGGGATTCTCTTCCATTTTCATCACCGACTTGTTGCTGAGCAAGTCCAGTTGTGCTAGTTCCGGTGGCAGCACCTGTAGTCGATTGTTTTGTATGTGCAGCTCTCGCAGTCGCACCAGCTCGCCCACCTCACGTGGAAGCTCCAACAGATCGTTGTCGCGCAGTCCCAAGATCTGCAAATTCTTCAGTTGGCCCAGCTCCTTGGGTATATATTCGAAATCGTTGTCACCCAGGTATAAAGCGCGCAACGTTTCCATGCCAAAGAAGTTGCCCGGCAGCACCTGTTCGCTCAGATTGTTGTACGACAGATCGAGCACCTCCAGCACGGGAAAAGCGCCAAAGCCACGTGGCAGATTGTCCAGTCGATTGATCGAACAATTCAAAATGCGCAGCTTCGGCATCGACGACAGCGAAACGGGCAGCTCGCTGAGCAAATTGTTCGAGAGGTTCAATATTTCCAGATTCAGTAAATTGGCAATGCCGGGGCTAATAACGCTGATCTTGTTGTGCGACAGCGTCAGGCGTGTGATATAGGACATGTTGACTGTGGAAAAGAGAAGGTAAATATTATACATTATCTGGGAATGTCTAAGTTTATACTAGGAAGAGGTGGGGAGTTATAGACATTGTTGTTTATATCCATATCAAACTTGGCCTATGTATTTTTTTTCCAGAAATATACATACATAGCGGTCGGCTGGACTATACAGGAAAATTTCAGAAACACTAATCATGTTATTGAAAGAAACTTTATATAAAGTTAAACTGCACATTGCTTAAAACTATGATAATCTTTTTATAAGTACACATTCACTAAGCACAGCAAATTTCCTACAGCCCTTAAATCCTATCTAAGCACAACAGCTGTTTTAGCCGCACTGCAAGCAACAGGCATAAGTGTAAGGGAGACAACATTACAGTCTGCGCGTAGGGCCTATTTATAAATGAAAATCAAACAAAAATTGGGCGTTTGCTGCCTCTCAATTAATTAAAAAGCTAATTCTTTTGTTTAAGCAACACCAGGCCACATGTATGCACTTTGTCTACTTATTTCAAATACATTATGAAGTTATTTAGGGAATTTTATTTATAGACGCTGGCGTCATCAAACCACATTCTGTTAACTGCACAACGATGGCGTCACAGCTATTATTTTTTCGCTTTAACTGCACTGAACTTTACATCTACTTGTGGCACTTGATGGCCTTGGCACTTACACAGTCCGGGCAGCTCCTCAAAGGAGACTATGCCCTTGTCCACAAGATCCAATTCACGATTTTGGGTCTCGCGCGCTTCATCCAACACCTTCTTTGCCTTCGACATCTTTGCATTAACAGGTAGACATTGATTCATCGTTCAGCTTGTTTGCTGTTAAGCGCGCACTGTTAACTCAATTGATGCTGTTCAGTGCGAAGCGTTGCCACTTGTTTAAATGCTAATGGGAAGCCTTAGCGAAGTTTTGCACCTTTTTCTTAAATGCTGCACAGTGGTGTTGTAACTGTAAATATATTATTTTTGTTTAAAATGTTTATTTAAATAAGTTCTTTTCAGAATAAATATATTGAAAGGTTCTTTTTATATTAGACAATAATCATTTTGTTATTTTTCGGCTTGCAAATATAATTTCGTTTTATATTCTTGCTATTACACGATAATGCTCGAACTGTAGCTAGAAGATTTTATTAAGTAATATTCTTTTTCTTTTAATTTAATTAAATATTTCTTTTGCTTTTCTTTTAACATATGTTTTTGTATTAACAATATGTTTGGTTGATTTGATTGATTTGGTTGATTGAAATTTATTGTTACACAGTGCTACTCAAACTGTTGCTGCAGCTGCTGCTTATTTTTGTTTTTCTTTTTCTGTTTTCCTCCGCTTGCATCTGTTTTTCTTGTGGTGATTTTCACGGACTTTCCAGCACTTGAAATCGAGTTCAACAATTTGTATGCACACTGTAGCACACAAACTATGCACTTGACCCAATTTACGATTGAAAAGAATTTTCCTTATATTTATTTTCTGCTTTTTTTAGAATTTATTTCTGCACTTTCAACGGGTTCGCACGTAACTGAGAATTTGACGTGCTCTTTAAAATAGTTTCCAATTCTAATTTCATTTGATAAACTACGAAAATAGTGTGCGTCACCTTTCGCTCGCCACGCGCTCTGTCCAACTGCCAAACTGCCTGAGCATATTTTTTACAACGTTCGATCCGATC